CCGGGCGCCACGGCAGCCACTGGTTTCTTCCCCACCCCCTCATTTTGGGCACTTGAGCCGAAAAAAGTTTGCCTCCACTGCTTTAGACAATGTCAGAGCCAACTGCTCCTCCACTGACAAGTGAGCATGAAATCCCAGTCATACTTGTAACAAATAAACAAGCACATGTCTCATCCTCTCCAGACTGTGTGGTACAGGATAGCACTCCTCTCTGTCATAATAATAATAAGAAATAATAATTTATTGTCATTGTAAGTATATACACATACAACGAAATTCACAGACACCCAGAGACCAGACACATGCACACACATAAAATTCCCCAAACACTCCCCACCCATCTTCAGCAAAGGATATTGCATCAGATGATAATCTAGTGGAAAGGGTGCCTAAATCTCTACAGCTAAAAATAATTAAACCTGCATCTTCTGCAAAGGACACTATCTTTGCTAGAGTGCAAAAGACTGCTAAGCTCCCAATAAAATTAGCAGTGCTGCGAACACTAACTAATCTCGTTAATCAGTCCTGGAAGAAGCCATCTACCATACCACCAAACTCTAAGAGAATAGAAAACATCTACAGAGTACAATGTAAATTTCTTCTTTAAGCATCCAGCACCAAATTCCATTATAGTAGAGACCACTCACACAGAAGTGGACCTCAGATGACACCCATGAATAGAGAGGGGATGAAAAATCTATTCTTCTGCCCCCCTCCACATGGAAATATACAACTGTCAGGCCATTGTGGGGACATATCATCAGTTCATCTCAATTACTGACTTGGTCTAAACATCACTATGAAAAAAATGCAGTTAGTTCTCTGCCAAGTAATCCACTACATAGGATCCATTGCCAACTCAAAAACTGCACGGTGTTACTTGCCTCAGGAGCAGAGTGAACAAGCTCATCTACAATGCCATGCAAACATCTGCGTCCACAGAGCCCACAATCAATTCTATTCAAAACCTTTTAGGTCCCATTAACTCACCCACAGCAGTGGTTTGACATGCCAGACTATGAATGAGACTCCACATAAACTATGATTACCAGGAGAATTCCCAGTTCTAAAAGATTGGCTTTCCCTCCACACTTCCGGAAAAAACTTATATGGTGGCCAAACAGGCACAACCTAACAATCGGAATACCCTTTTGGCAACCACAACCAGACACAATGGTAGTCACTGATCCCAGCAACATGGGGGCATGGACATTGCCTCGAAAAGGACATACACACTCTGTGGTCCCTATACAAATGGACACATCACATCAGTTTCCTTGAACTCCTTGCAATACATAAAGTGCTGAAAGTATTCAAAAATCTTTCTGGCAAGACTGTCCAGATTGCCATGGACAATACAACTGTAATGTATTATCTAAACAAGCAGGGTAGCAGAAAATCCCTACATACATTCTATAATTCAACTTTGGGAATGGCGTGACCCTCGTTACATTCAATTTCATAAGGACAAGATGACCTTATATACTGACATTCCATTTCTTCTGATGGTCGTCTCATTCCACATTTCCCAACCTTTAGTTTTTCCAACTTGTATCCTTTCCCAGTGTTGGAAAGAGTGTTACACACACTAAATTACCAGAGAATGTTAGCATTCTACCTCTCATAAACCAAAGAATTCAAGAAAACACCCAGATTATTTTTCTGTTATCAAGGTCCTAACAAAGGCTACCGTTTCCTCTCCGCCTTTTTCAAGATGGATGGTTGAAACTATCAAGTTATCTTATGCTATCGCAAAAGTGGAATTCCCATCACAAATAAGAGGTCACTCAACACGATCGATATCATCCTGTATGGCTTTCATAAGAGGAAAAGACATCTAAAGTTTATGTAAGGCAGCTACTTGGTCGCAACCTCTGACTTTTGCACTATACAGTGGTGCCTCGCTTAGCGATTGCTTCGTTTAATGATGTATTCGCTTAACAATGGTTTTTTAAAAAGAATTTTCCGCATCGTTTAATGATGTTTCCTATGGGTGATTTTCGCTTAGCGATTTCGGGACCATGCTTCGCATAGCGAATGCATTTTGGGTTCCCTGTTTCGCTTAACGATGCCAGTTTTCGCAATTTTCAAAGTGTCTTAAAATGTTCAAAAACTGTTTTTAATGCTTGGATTCGTTAGAGCACCTTGTAAAACGTGTGCAAACTTAATTTGGCTTTGTTCTGAGTCTTCGTTATTTTTGGTGAATTTTTTTCTCCCCCATTGGAATGCATTGAAGTGCCCGTTTGACAGCTGTCAAACTTGGGTTCAATGCATTTCAATGGGGGGAAAATTCACCAAAAATTAACGAAGAGTCAGAACAAAGCCAAATTAAGTTTGCACATGTTTTAGCGAAAACGGACATCGCAAAACCATTGAAATGCATTGAATAGGCTTCAATGCATTCCAGTGGGGGAAACATTGTATCGCTTAGCGATGTTTCCTGTGGCGATTTTTGCTTAAGGACGGCAATCCGTTCCTGTTGGAACGGATTATCTGGTTTTCAATGCATCTCTATGGGAAAACGTGTTTCGCTTAGCGATGTTTTCGCATAGCGATGTTTTTTTGGAACCAATTAAAATCGTTAAGCGAGGCACCACTGTATTATAAATTGAATCCGTGTGCTCAGAAAGATGCCTCATTTTGTAGGATCATTCTGTCTTCTATACTGGCATGACGCTGTCTACCAAGACAAAGTTTGCTAGTCACCCTTCTTTATGTGCATACATCGAAGCAACAAAGAAGGAGGACAGGTTAGTCCCCTGTAACATTAGTTCTTTGGTTGGTCCTCTGTGTATTCATACAACCTGCCCTCCCCACTGCTGTTCTGCCAATTCTACAATGACATCTCTATGGTGTACCCAACAAGACTGAGGAATATTCACTTGGGTGTATGTTATAAACGCTAGGAAGGAACATGAGTCTAAGGTTCTGGAACATTCTGAAGGATTATCTGCATAGGTGCAGAACACTTTTTGTGTGTGACTACATGGAGGACCATTCAAAGAACTTAATTTACAGGTGAGTAACGTCCTTTTCTATTCTATCACTTTTGGGAATTTGTACATAATAGTGTCATTACTTTTCAGATTTTTGGTGGTTTGTTGAAATGTGTGTTCAGAAGATCCATTTTACAAGAACTGGAATTCATTAGATGGCTCATTTGCTTTTGTATTCTAGTATGTTGATGTGCTAGAATTTGTGTTTTACTTCAAGTTAACCTGCTGATTTATAATATAAAGCAGAGTAATGCATTTTGTAACACCAGTGTCTTTTTCAGTGACCTTTTATGCACCTTCTCTTCCTCTCCCTATTTGAGACAGAAAATACTATCATGTTATAGCGGATGTTAGAATGTTCATACAGTCTCCTACTGAATACTACCACCAGTACATTGTATCTCCATATTATGCTATAGTATCCTTTGCCTTCTATCAAATACAGGCAGTGTTTATGTAGTGGCACATGGGATGTCACAAGATCCTGTCTTAAGTCCAGTATTCTTTTTATTAATTAGTTTTATTTATAAAATAAATAAATTTCTCCAAACAAGGGACCCAGAGCGGTTCACAACACTAAAATTCATACAGTTTAAAAACACAATAAGTTAAATATTTATAAAGATAAATTAAAACATGAAAACATAAGAGATTAAAATTTCTGCTGAAATGGGTTCAGGGATTAAGTTATAATTGTTAAAAGCCTGCCTGAAGAGGTGAGTCTTCAGCTTTTTTCAAAAGGGTAAAATGGGCCTTACTGATCTCCGGAGGGAGAGCATTCCATAGCGTGGGAGTTGTCACAGAGAAGGCCTTCTCCCATGTCCCCATCCGCTGTGCTTGTCCTGGCAATGGGACCGAGAGAAGGGTCTCCTCTGCTGATCTTAATTGTTGAGAAGGTGCATATAAAGAGATACGGTCCTTCAGGTAGCCTGGATCCCTGTATAGAGCTTTATAGGTAATGACCAGCACTTTGAATTGGGCCCTGGAATGGACTGGTAGCCAGTGCAGTTCTTGTAACAGATGTGTTATATGCTCCCTGTAGCTGGCCTCAGCCAGTAGTCTGGCTGCAGAGTTTTGCACCAGCTGAAGTTTCTGAACCGTCTTCAAAGGCAGCCCCACATAGAATGCCTTACAGTAATCCAAATGGGATGTAACTAAGGCATGTGTCACTGTAGCGAGATCTGACATCTCAAGGAATGGGAACAGCTGGCGCACCAGCTTTAGCTGTGCAAATGCACTCCTGGTCACCTCTGAGACCTGGGCATCAAAACTTAGGGATGAATCCAGGAGTACACCCAAGCTGCGGACCTGTGTTTTCAAGGGGAGTGTAACCCCATCCAGCCCTGGTAGTGTCCCTATTCCCTCATCTGCCTTCTGACTAACCAGGAGCACCTCTGTCTTGTCTGGATTAAATTTCATTTTGTTTGCCCCCATGCAGTCCATTACTGATGCCAAGCACTGGTTTAGAATCAAGACAGCTTCCCTGGAATTAGGTGGAAAGGAGAGATAGAGTTGGGTGTCATACATATACCCCAAAACTCCGGACAACCTCTCCTAGCATTTTCATGTAGATGTTAAAAAGCATGGGTGAGAAAGCAGAACCCTGAGGAATGGCACAGGCCATTGGCCAGGGCATTGAGTAGGAGTCACTCAGCACCACCTTCTGAGTTCTCCAAAAAGGACTGGAGCCACTATAACACAGTGCTTCTGAGTCCCATCCCAGAGAGATGGCCCAGAAGGATACCATGGTCGATGGTATCGAAAGCCGCTGAGAGCTCCAGCAGAACCAACAGGGACACACACACCCTGTCCAGTTCCCAGCGTAGGTCATTCACCAAGGCGACCAAATGTCTTTCAGTCCCATAGCCAGGCCTGAAACCAGACTGAAATGGGTCTAGATCAGAGGTGGGCAGTTAATTTCTATGGGAGGGGCACATGAAAAATCTGAACTGTGTTTGGGGGCTGAACCAACTTTACTTAAAAATAAAATGAAACAGTGATGTTATGATTGTTTTTATTTTAAACTTGTTAATCTTCACAAATACTAAAGAGTTTTTTTGCGGTATGTTAAAGATAGGCAACTGATCATCTTTAGACAAAAAGCTGTAAATGGTTTTGATGTTCAGAACTGTCCGCTGGCTGGACAGGAGTGGCTCATGGGCCGTATGTGGCCCTCGGGCCGCACTTTGCCCAGGTGTGGTCTAGATAATCTGTTTCCTCCATGAATCCCTGGATCTGAGAAACCATCACATGCTCCAGTACCTTGCCCAGGAATGGGATGTTTGAGACTGGCCAATAGTTATCCAGTACACTGGGATCCGGGGAGGGCTTCTTCAATAGCGGTCTTATTACTGCCTCCTTTAAGCAAGCAGGGATCCTACCCTGCTGCAAGGAAGCATTTACCACTCCCCATACCCAATTGGCCATTCCTCTTCTGGCTGCTTTTATGCTTTTTTTATTCAACATCATTACATATGACTTAGATAAAAGCAGGAAAGTGATGCTCATAGTACATCAGCAAGGACTTCTGGTTTCTGTCTTTTCTACTATAGCACCAGCAGAATGTGCCATGTAGCATACCTAAATGAAGAAAGCTAGGATAATCAGGGTGGTTTTTGTTTCGAAGCACAGTGGACTTCTTTCATATTCAGTAATTAAGCCTGAAGTCTGTGGCATGGTGCATGACTACCAGATAAATTATTATGACTCCAATACCTTTATCTCTAGGTGGCTACAGTGTCAATGGAGGATCTGGGGAAACTACTTATGGTCGGAAGTCGTTGGGGCAAGAGCTGAGAGTTAACAATGTGACCAATTCTGATTTTACCAGTATTCAGCATGGAAATCGTGCTTTAGTCACAAAAGACATGAGGAAAACACAGGGTATGAATTATGTCAATTTGTATAATTTTTCTCTAGTGGCAATGACTTTCACATTATTACAGTAGGAACCAGGGACATCTGCTAGAAATGGTATTTGTGAGTTACAAAACATGTAAAGTCTCTTATTTAAACCATAGTTTTTAATAAATTGGGTTTGCCTTAAATCGAAGAAGTATTGTAATAAGAGGCTTTTCAATGATAACATTGGCCCTTGAACAGTTACTGCTTCAGAGTAAAAGCCTTGTAGCAGAGCAGCTCTAAGTTTTTTGTCCACTAGTTCTGAAGAAAATCTGTGGATGTATGTTGCTTCTTCATATCAGGTTATGTTATTTCATTGTTACATGTAATTAAATTTGATATTTGGAAAGAAACATGCACATTTGTGTTAATATCTCCATTTCTAGAGCGATCATTGTCTTACTCGGACGAGTCTCGACTGTCAAATCTTCTTCGGAGGATTACTCGGGAAGATGACAGAGACCGAAGACTGGCTACTGTAAAGCAATTGAAAGAATTCATTCAGCAACCAGAGAACAAACTGGTTAAGTACTGTAGGCTTATCCTCCCTTAGCAGTATATTAATAAGAGGGTTCCTTGTGGTGAGATACATCTTCCTGGGGAGAACTATGACACACAAGGTTTTTTATTCATGTTCATCACATCACAGTTAATCGTTCTAATTATTCTTCCCACCTACCCTTTCCTTCTTTCTGTACTTAGACTAACCCTTAGATGATAGGCAGATGATCCAACTCCGGGACTATATATGATGCCTGCAGCATATGGTGGGGTCGATTTTGATAGAAAATATCAAAGGTTGCTTTTCATAAGCATAACCTTTGAGAGTCCACATCACAATGAGCTGGTGTTTCAGAATTTTGTAAAGGGATAGTTGAAGGATTTTCTGTGTCCTTCAGGGATTGGTAGAGAAGAGAGATAAATATTTATATGTTTGTGAGCTTCTATCCCAGCTAACTGGTTCCCTTTTGAAGGAAATTTATTTTTGTGTAGCCATTCAGTCAGATTAATTATTCTTAATGTGAATGTCAGCATTGGTTTGTTCAGGCAGAGAAGTTATTTCAAATTTTTTAAAAAGTATGTTAATCTTTGAAGCTGGTAAAAGATTTATTCTTGATGTTACTGATGTATTTTAGTGACCATTTTTAGCATCGATGCTGTATCTTTCTCAATGTTTTTCTGTTCTTCTGTCCTCCATTACAGTAGTCAGTGAGGGCCTGCCCCATCTCTGTTGAGGAACCCTCCCATTAGTAAATAATAAGGTGTCCCAGAAGTTTTAATAACATTGTAAGAGCACTTGTGATGTCTTTTTAGATGGGAGTGATACTTATGTGGTATTCCACAGCATATGAAATATCACTTCTGGTTTTTCAGGCATCCCATGGGCAGTGGGAATCCTCTATAATGTGCAGGGATAAGGAACGGATGTGTAGAGGAGGGATCAATTTATGTTTTGTGGGCTTCTCTCCCAGCTAAGTGATACATGTTTGGGGAGGAATGATCTACATAAAAATGGGGCCTTCAGTTGCCCATATGCTTAGATCTTCATTAGGCATGGGGCTTCCAGATTTTTTTCACTAAAGTTGCCAGATTTCACTACAGATTCCCCCAGCCAGAATTCTTTTAGCTGCAGTCAAAAATATTGAGTCTACAGAGGGGTTTTCAGAACACACACCTGTGCAAGTCTCTCTGCAGCAATCATCATTAGCCTGAAGAAGGAAATTAATTGGAGTAGCAAAGCTCCATGGGTGCTGCAAGAGATTAGACAACTCAGTCTCTCTTCTCACTAGACTGTGTACAGGGGGCCTCTCAAAAAAGCCCACCAGTTTCCTAATCCCTTACAGCCACTCCTATCCATTTTCTTCTTCATCTTAGTGACTGTCATCATTAGGCACAGGTGTATGTTTTGAAACCCCTCTGGCTGCAGGAATTCCTGTTGAGTTCTAGCAGCTGTAGTGAAAAAAAATCTGAAAACTATGCGTAATCTTCATCACAATAAGTGGTTGGATTATTACAGCTTTCTTGGGCCATACTCTTATACTCTCAATATGAATATAAACTGCTCTGTATAAGATAGAAAATATAGAGGCGGGCCAGTTATTCAAGGCAGAGCAAAGCATTGAGCTCTTAGTGAGACCAAGTTGGTCTCCTCTTGCTGGTGTTCTTCCTTGAACAGCAGTTGGTACCGATTTTTAATTTTACTGATGGGTGAGTGCAGTATATTCATTTCTTTTCTGCAGGCTATGAAGACATAGGATGGGTGGCAAAAGATGTATTTGCTTTGTAACTTTAAAAAGGCATAGTGTTTGGGGTGGTTATATAGTGTCAACACAGTTCATAACTGACATACTGTCTCTTGGTATAATTTATTTCCCATCAGAGTCTTCAAAGATTTTCTGAAGGAGCTCTTAATGTATCTTAAACCCATGTCATAGATTAGTACTGCTGTACTCCAATGATGTTTATTCCACTTATAATTGACAGTAGTGTCCAAAGTTGTCCATAATACATACTTAGTTCCCTTGCTGGGTGTTTTTAAGAGCCAACTCAAGACCTGGCTCTTTAGGCAGGCCTTACCTCCTGTCACTTGATCTTTACTTTCCATTTTAATTTTTCTACCTTTCCATCTTGAATGATATTAATGCTGTTGTTTAAATTCCTGTTTTTAATTGTTTTATATTATCTCTGTTGTCATCTGCCCAGAGTAGACACAGTCTAGATGGGCAGGGCAAAAAAATCTAATAAATAAATAAATAAATAAATACATACATACATACATACATACATACATACATACATACATAAATACATAAATACATAAATACATAAATACATAAATACATAAATAAATAAAATTATTATTACAAAACCGGTAAAGTTTTTTTCTGCAAGGGAAATAATGTGACTATCAGCAGTGGTATTTAATTTTCAAATGATGAGACAACATTAAAATTGCAGTAGTAATTTTTCTAAATGCTTTATATGTTGACTGTTGCAGGTCCTTGTTAAACAGCTGGATAATATCTTGACTGCCATACATGATGTGCTGAATGAAAGGTAAGTTGGAATAAGAGAGGTTTTCTTAGGTTTCATTTGTCACTCAGCTTCCAGTGAGCATTTCAAGTCTGGAACCTGGGATTAAAGCACAGGGACTAATATTTAAACTGCCACGGGAGAGACACACCTTCATTTAAGGAAATCAAGTATCATTTGTTTTGCTTCTGTTTGAATGTGCTCTGAAACCAAGGCAGTTTTAGTACTGCTTTCACATTTAGATGTTTCCAATCCCTGAAGGCATTTATTTGGGACTTGGGCTGCCCCAGTTTCTATGATAAATCTATATCACTAGTTATTTGCTTTGAGGTTTTAGCATGAATAGGAGCAGAAGGTGCTTTATTGCATATTTTCTCTGAATTTAGACCTTACTGAATGCTTTGGGCAGTTGATGAGTACAAGGCATGCTTAATTGCTGTTAACACTAAATTTTATGAGTTGGGCTGTTAGGCTGAGCTAATGAGTGTGGGTCACAGATACACATCATGGCAAAAAGATTTGCCCAGCCCCCCCCCCCCC